AATTGTTTATTACTTCGAAAACAAGAATTGAAATTGTACACATCATTCATTCATTGTGAGATTATAGATGTAATGGCAATTAAAACAGTTAATATAACTGAGGCGGCTATTGAGGAAAAGTCCAATGAAATTAAGCTAAAGCAAGCGAACAAATAATGCTATTAAAGTTTGTAATTATATAGCCACATATTAATCCCAAATAGGTAAAAGCTGGATTTTTCGTTAATTTTGGAATCCTGTCCAATTAAGAAATTAATTGGACAGGTTTTCAATGAAGGTGTCATTACTGTTATTGTATTGTTATTTGTTATTGTGTTATTGTACTCGGGCACGGCCTCGTCCAATTTTTGGCAGTCCTCGGAATTTTCCTCGTCCAATTATTTCTTAATTGGACAGCATGGAGTCCTATTACATATAAAAATTACAAATGAACTTTTCATTTGCAACTTGAGCTTAACATTTTGAAGGTGCTGAAATACAGGTAATTTCAGATATTTATAATAATATTTCTCGAATAGTATAAGAACGAATCTCAATTTGAATAGTACTTATATATAACCTACATCGGCGACGAAGTTCCCGCAAGTATTACAAATTAAGTTGTTTGAGTTGTTGTTTATTTGTTTTTATTTTTGTTTTTTGTTTTTCTGTAGGTTTTTTTTTCTTCTTTTTTTCCGCAACTTCACTTTTTCATGGAGATGCTGAAAATGCAGTCAATTTCAAAGGGTTTTTTTTCATTTCTTTAAGAAAATTTGAATCAAATATACTAATCTAAAAAGACTTCTTCATTCACAAGTAATCTTAATTTAAAGAATACTTATGTTTTTACTATTCACACCATAATGGTTTTATGAGTACTCGGGTCCTTTCAATCTTTTCCGCCAATTAAATCATCGCAAAGATATGTGATAAAAGGAAAAAAATTACTGCACTGATATACTGACCACGATCAGGATGGAAGACAAGGATGGAAGACTTCAACACCTCATTCAACAACCTCACAAACGCTAATTCTAGTTACTGCAAGTTCGATGTATCTGACAGCGAGAACATTGCTAAGCGTAGCTCCTTCGTATTCTTGCTTATTATGCTGGGAATCTTTGGCAACGTTTTCTTCATCATACACGCTGCTAAATACACAGTACACCTGGACCATTTCATATTCAACATGGGCGTGTTGGATACATTTTTCCTCCTTTCGTCGTTGCTAAGCGCACTTCCTTGGCTTTCTGAATATCGCGCTGGAGTATGAATCGCTACCGCACTTTCACCATCATAATCTCTAAGTTTTTGAAATTTCTATGTGGAACTTTCGTTAAGAGTATCGCTGGTTATCTATGGTTATATCTGCTACGAAGCTAACATTTCACAGTCGACCTTACTCATGAAAGCTCCGACTGACTGTGCTCGGCTTCTGCTGGTCAGCTCACACGCTACTTGGTGTCTTCACATATGCGGAAGGCTCTTATGGTTTGCCAATAGGAGAAGCCAATGCAATTCTAATTTGTACACACGAAATCTTAGTAATAATTATTTGTTGTGTAATATTTGTTCTTGGTATTCTTACCATTAAAATGCTGTTCAGACCTCAACCAATCCAAGCACACCTAGTCAACGAACAACAGCGAAAATAACGAGAACGAACACGTCGAACAATGCAGTTTACAGGAAAGTGAGTGAGTGACTGATCGATCCG